GAATGTGGTGTACCTGGATTATGTTAGAACACTGATGAAACTAAGCATTTTCCTCTCTATTTTCTGGAAAATAGAAGCATTCTGATGAAACTTAACCCAAAGGTAGAAGTATGCAATGAGACTTTTATTTTCTAAATGCTTTTATTTTCTTTGCAGTTCATACCGATGCCTGTGCTCTATGGGGTCTTTCTCTACATGGGTGTATCATCGCTCCGAGGAATTCAGGTCTGGGCTTTTATAGCACACGGCATGTCGGCTCCCTGCTGTTTAATCTCAGAAGCATGAAGTCTTCTGATCAGTGACTTGGGAAAAGCCTCTGAGGGCAAACAATGAAAAATAAGTGGTACAAGAATGAAATATGGGGCTTCTTGGGTGGTTGGGAGGGTAGGTTCAGCTCTCTCTGCTTCAGGCAGCGAGGGCTTGTCAAGACCTTCTGTGTCCTGCCCCAAGGGGGTAACATCTCCCTGTGATCTTGCAGTTCTTTGATCGCTTGAAGCTCTTTGGGATGCCGGAGAAACACCAGCCGGATTTCATCTACCTGCGACACGTCCCCTTGCGCAAAGTGCATCTCTTCACCCTGATCCAGCTCACCTGCCTCGTTCTGCTCTGGATCATCAAAGCGTCCCCCGCGGCCATCGTCTTCCCCATGATGGTGAGAGCTGGCACCTGACAGCAGCGCCTTTGCGGAGCCAGAGCCCTCGCATCCGAGCGAAACGCAACCCTTTTGCTGGCCTAACTGCATCTCTTTTGTTTGGGAAGGTTTTGGCTCTCGTCTTTGTGCGGAAGGTCATGGATTTCTGCTTCTCGAAGCGGGAGCTCAGTTGGCTGGACGATCTTATGCCAGAAAGCAAGAAGAAGAAACTGGACGATGCCAAAAACGAAGCCAAAGAAGAAGAGGTAGCATTTGCAGAGAGCTCAAAGCTACACGTCTCCCTGGGGCTATGAGCCTGCCTGTTACAGAGTTTTGACTTTTGTCCCTTTTTGTTGCAGGAGTCTCAGAAGATGATGGAAGCTGCTGCAGCAAATTCAGTCCAGCTGAAGCTGGGCAAAACCAGCTACTCAGATGTCTCAAAGCAAGATAATGATAGGTAAAACTGTGCTGAGTGCCAGGACGCCCCCAGCTCGATGTGAAAGTGAAGTTTAACCCTTTCCCTTAATTTAATGACTCCCAGAACATGCATCATCCCAGCTACACAGCACGCAGGGCTCCAAACACTTAGGAACAGGGAACTCAAGCATGTGTCTGCCAGTAGCAGCGACTTGGGAACGTGGTTTGAGATGCTAAATGCCTGCAAGACCCTTTGCACAGCTGGTTCTCAGCAGCTTGGTCCCTAAAACTTGTGATCCAGTAAATCTATGTGTTGTGCTAAATTACATGAGCTGCACCGCTCTGTTCTCTGCGGCCACTCCTCTGTGTGCTGACTGGCACGTGCTAATGCCCTTGGCATCTGTTAGGAACTTCACATACAGACTTCCTACCTGAAATATTTATTGCAGGGTTGATCCTTCTGAAATTAACATCTCGGATGAAATGCCCAAAACAACTGTATGGAAAGCTCTCACCATGAACTCAGAAAAGCTCTAAATCCAAGGAGGGAAAAGGTAAAAACGATAGCGTGACTGGCGTTGTTAATATGGCTGGGGC